CTGAAATAGATAAATATGAGTATACTGTATTAGTGGAAAAAACAGCTAGATAAATAGATAGATTTAGAAAAGAACAGAATAGAAAAGTATGACATTAAAACTATATCCGGTAGCAAGACCTTTGATGGGGAGATTAGTGGTTCTGTGAAGCTTGGAACCACCTCTTAAAAAAGGAAAGAAATTAAGAATTACATTCGAAATAATACATCACTTCAAAAATCCATCCTATGTAAAAAAAAAAAAAAAAAATAGTGTTGTTTATGAATTCTCATCTCAATTGGGTAATTGGATCTCCAAGACTAATAATCGACACACGGCATTAAATTATAACATTGTCCACCCATGCAACAGACACACTCATAGGTTGACATGTCATTTGTCAAAATCTAGTCTAATTCACGCACATATAGATCAATATATAAATAAATACAAATAAAACAAATTTATCGTATAAGCAAAAAATACACAGTCCATTAAATTATTTTATCGTAAGCAGGTACATCCTAATTATAAACAAAACGAAAAGACCATTAAAAATACAATACGCTGGTATATAACAATTAACAATCATAACAAATACCTTAGATTTATCATTTATATTATAATATATATATATATATATATATATATATATATATATATATATATATATATATTTAAAGAAATATAGTCTTAAGGTCTGCTATATTTATGGGATAAAGTACTCGATATCAGAGATAAAAATGTAAAATATAAAAGTGAACATAGAAGTCAACACTTAGAGGCGACAGTCTGTTTCATGCTATATGCAATCGTCAGGCCACGTGTGCTGTTATTTTTCTCGGCTATTTATACATATACGGGTCAGTGGTGCATTGTGGGTAGTCTATTATGGCGGTTATTTTAACGGAAGTCGTTTATTTAAAAAAATTGTTTATATCACTTATTTAATAGTTTTGTTTTGGTTTGAGAATTTAATTAAAGATATTTGTTCTGTTTGGGGTTGGTTCTTGTAGTTTTATTCTAATCTATTATTTTGGCAGAAAATTTGTTTTTAATTTGTGTTTATTTGGGTTGATTATCTTTATTTGTTTTTTTCTAACGGTAACTTTATCGGGATTGGTTAGTTTATTTATTTAGGTCAATTTATTTTACTTCTATATTTTCTCGTTTCGGTTTTCGATTTTTAAGTAACGTAGTATTTATTTATTTGGTTTTTATTTTTATTTTATTTTATTTCATTTTATTTATTTATTTTTTTATTGTTATATAACAGTTATAGCTATTTTTTTCGTCCGATTTTTGGTTTGATTTTTTAGACTAACTAATATTTTGGTCGTAATGGTTTGCTACTTTGTTTATTATTTTCTTTATTTATTTGGGTTCGTTGTTTTTCGTTTCGTTTTTTTTTTGTTATTATTATTATTATTATTACTATTATTATTATTATTATTCTATTTCGTCTATTCTAATAGGTGTGATTTGGTAATTTGTTTGGATTAGTTAATTTTGCTTATTTTATTGTTATTTTGTTTACTTGTTTATTTATTTGTTTTTATTTTATTTTCAATTTTTAAGTAACGTAGTAAAATTTGTTTTCAGGTCTGCATTTTGAGATGAGGTCGGATCTTTTATTTAATAATTTATTTTGGTCTGGGAAAGTAATAATAGCTATTTTTTCCTCCAAACAAAGTTTGCAAGTTTTTGATTGGTTGTTGTAGGCTGGTGATCTTTTCCTTATTTTCCAAGATATTTTTGGTGTGATGTGGGTTTTATTTTTAATTTCCCAGATATACTTAGAAAGCATTGTACTGTTTGCATATTTACTATTTGTGAAAGATGTTTTGTGTGTATAATTTCTTTGTTTCAGTTACTCCTATCTATACTTTTTCTTCATTATCTGGTGATTTTATCGTAGCTTGGTATATTACGTTGTTTTGTAAACAATTTCCGTTTAAGGGACATTCGTTCTTTATTCTGCAGTTGCAAGTGGGTTTAATTTGTTCGTGTGGTTTGTTGATAATTTTCCTGTTGTGCTTTTTTATTATTTGTGCCATGTTCTCGGTGCAGCTGTAGTTGATTTTTACTGTGCTTGATTAGGGTGCTTGATTCCGGGAAGTGTTTGTGTAAGAATTTGAAGAATATTTTTCCTACGTTTGTTTTTACGTTTTTGCTGTACGGTGGGGTGAACCATATTTCTTCTCCTGTTGGCCTTTTTTGTGTTTTGTGGTGAGTATGTGAGTGTTGCTGGGAATCCTCTATCTTTTAGGGCTGTTTCATAGTCTTTCTTAGCTTTGTTAAATATGGATTCATTGGAGGAATTGTCGGAAAGCCTGCGGTTAATCGATTTTGGTATCTGTTTGAGTATAGAAGGCTGGTGGTTGGAAGATGTGTGTATGTAGAGTGGTTTATCATTAGGTTTTCTATATGGTTTATATGTGCCTTTTGTTAGGTTGAAGGTAACATCTAGAAAGTCTACTTCGTTTAGGTTAGTTTTTATATCTATGTCGAATCCGTTGTTTTTAAAAATCTTTATTATTGCTTTTCTAGTTTTGTCTGTGTTTTGTTTGTTACAGTTTCTTAAGATTATGAGACCGTCGTCCCTGTAGAGTCTTGTGTCATTTCTATCTATTATTTTGCTCAGTTTGTGTAGTAAGTAAATACCTATGATTTCGCATAACTGCACCGTCAAAGCTTCCCATTGTAGTGTCAAATATCCCATCTTTCTTTATCCATGCTTCTTCATTGTGGAATAATAATGATTTACGGGAGTGCTTAATGATGTTGATTTCGCTTGGTTTTATTATTATTTGTTCCTGAGCTAAATTGATGGCCTTATCTAACATGCGTTATGTTATGGATGGGTAAAATTCTTTTTATTTTATTTCCATATATATATATATATATATATATATATATATATATATATATATATATATATATGTTGATACGAGGTGCCCTGGTGATATTATAATATATATATATATATATATATATATATATATATATATATATATGGTGATTGATTTGTTTTTATGATATATCAACTATTTGCAGGTTATTTAGGCACAGGAAATATTTTTAGATTGCAAAGAGATTTGCAGATACAAGTCCTGCTAATTAACCCATAAATGGAGGGAGAAGAGCTGAATTCATACCTTTCTCAAACTTATTTGCGCGCAAGTGAATATAACTGGAATAGGAACTTTGCACTCTGAGCACCAATTCCAGGCCCTTATCCATTACACCATCGCACATTCAAATTTACAGCCCTTGGTATTCCAAAACTGTCACCCATAAAAGTAAGATTACCAAGCTCAACGTTGCTTAATTTTGGTGAACGTACAAGAATCAGCGTTTCAGCGTGATATGGCCGGTTGAAAAACACTGCTATAAAGGGTAGGAAGTTGTGGAGAGCAATGATTGGCAAGGTGCGAAAGGGCAAGGGTCATAAATGAAGAATAAAAAGAAATGATAACGACAGCAACCAATATACGAGAACTGATCAAAAAGTATCGGGACTAGTACTAAAATAATAAAACTACAACACATATCAATTCGGCATTTAATCCGCTTCGAAGTAATCCTCTTTTGAAGCAACACTTTTTAACCAGTATTATTTCCATTGATGGAAACATTCCAGGAACTCTTTTTTAGGATAGCGAGTAGCTGCCTCGTCGCATTGACGTACTGAAATCTTGTTCCTTTCAAGTGGGATTTGATTTTGGTAGAGGAAACAGTTTCAAAAGTCGAGGTCTAAGGAACATGGCGGTTGTCGAACCTGGAGAATATTGCGCTTGGCCAAAAACTGCTGCACAAGCCATGGTTACAAAAGAAATCGCTGTGGTGTGGTGAGATGAGCACACTCTACACACTTTCCTTCCAGTCACTGCTATAAACAATGGACGTGATAAATTATAAATTTGTATGCATGCGTGACAAGGTCAATCTGTGCCAGACGGCTTCACTCTGTGTGAATTAGCTCCGTTACCACAGCAACTGTCCTGATAATGTTTGATTAAACCCCGTATAAAAGGTAAAAAATGCTATAAATAAAGTGGGTATAGCAACAATCAAAGGAACAATAGCAACAATTTTCACAACGGAAGAAGATGCGGCTGTTGCAACGTTATCAAGAATAGCAACATGAAATGCAACTCTGCAGTGGAGCAATGAACTGTTGTCATAGAAACAAGAGTTGGATCAATAGTCGTCATGGATGCCATAATCAATAGCATAATATTTGATGCTGGTGATATCATGATGGGTGGAGACAACTGTTTCGTGGGCGAACAGACGAAGGCTTTGGTGGGGTGATAAGGGAGACTTAGGTGGAAGACAATTCACAATTTAAGCGACATTTAATTTGTAATTGTTGACTCTTATACTGGTTATAATCAAAAATCAATGGTAAATGTTCCCATGTTGTAAATGTATAGTTACCCCTCAGTGGAGATCATAAACCCACCCAATCTACAACCAATTTTAAACTCCCCCGGCGTACATCGATTAAATGTCGCACTGCTCCCGCAGTGAGTTCGATTTTAAGGAAGGTTCACTCTGAGAAACTTTTGACCAGACAAACAGTTGAAAATCACATGAAAAGTCTTTGTACGTTATCTTCTTAATTTAACAGTGAAGTGAGTAGTGATTTAAGACAGTTCAAAAGCATTGAAGAATCCTGTAAAAACAATAATGATTCCCGATCGACAGAATAACCTACTTTGTCCTGTGTCATCTTACTCTAAAAGTGAACTTTTTTTTTAAGCGTTTCACCCCAATCAAGGCGGGAAGCCACTAGGACGCAAGGGGTTACAGAAGATTTGGAGCAAGATCAGATAGGAGTGATAGAGGAAAGGATGAGGAGAAGGATAGCGGATAGATCAAGACAACTGGAGATATCGATTGACATTACATTTGAATAGTGGGAGATTATAGCTATCAGGGAAACTGGAATAGGGAAGGGAGTTCCACAGGCGAGAGGTGCGAGATATGAAGCTATTGGAGTAGAAGAGACGGCT